TGATAACGGCTGAATACACATTGGTTTGCTAAAGATTCAGAGACTGCAACATTGTGGTGGCCAATGCATGTTGCTGGCCTGCATCGAAAGCAAGGTGCTCGTTTATCAGTGGATTCTCGCCACTATCGCATAAACCATCGGATGGGAGTGGAAGATTAAAGTCCTCAAGAGTCATTGAGTGTGAGCTCAACATAGCCTGTAGTTGATGTAGAACCCAGTTCTGTAGTCATTCGTCGCTAGGCCTCAGATTTTAATCTCTGAGATCCTTGATTAAACTGTACGCATAATCTTCAGACATAGATTTCCAAGAAGAATTGAACAATGTTATCGGGCTTGGTATTTCACAGAACATAAGCATTGACACGAAAGTGCTTCGAATCACTCGTGGCATGCTAGAAGATGAGATATCTGCTAACACTCGTATCCATTCTGAAGAGTCTGATAAAAGGCCCAATTTTTCACAAGCTTTTTCAAAATCTGCACAAAGTTCTCCATTGAAAGTTCTGAGCTGAGCATAACTAACAGCGCCGCGAACTTTTGTGAGCAGCATTCAGAGGAAAAAAAACATCTCCAGAACCGGGTGGAACATATGCAATTCTGCCTATTGCGAATCCTTTCTTGCGAGGACTCCACTCTTTACAGGCAGGTAACCAAGTGTAGTTGTTTGGTATCTGTGCATATGTCAGAAATCTTGCCTTGGGGTCTCTACGATTAAGCGACAACCATTCTGTTAAGTGCGTCTTACCGACATAAGGATTCCCCAGAACATTCCGAACATTGGATTGCTTCTTATAAGGTATTTTTTGCTGGCCATCCAAATGAACTCCCAAGCGCACAACTGCTGGTTCTCTTACATGTAGTGGGTACTCATTCAACCTCCTTATAGCTTCATAAGACGACAACGATCGGCAGTCAACGAATTGCTGAATTTCATCTATGTATTTCACGTATTGCACTTCTACATTATTTTGTGGTGCATCAGCATTTTCAGCAATCACCAATGACATGTCCGGCCCTTTTGTCACATATTTGAAAAGATATTTAATAAGTTTGCCTTTATGACATACCTCGACATTGATATGAGCCTGCCTTCTCACCAACAAATTTCGGTTGTATGGAACAACATGTCGATTGTCGAGGACTGAACTACCCTTTTGAACCTCTATGCCCGAGTTTGATCTTCTATAGACGACATTTCCGAACTTGTCAAATGACGTGGCTGAGTTAAACTCTTTTGGGAATTGTTTGGAACATCTGGTGTTTGAGGATCGTTTTTTGTCTCGCATGCACGGTGCATTTGTGTTTGCTTCGCCGCATGGGCCATGTAACATATATTTGCAAACAGCCTCATGCCCAACTGGATCTTCTTGAGGGTCAGGAATTTCAGCTGAGATAACCTCATCAATATCAGCAGTTGTCCTCAGTTTATTCTCCTTGGCCAGCCAAACCAGCAAATGTATGTGGGGCAAACCTTTTTTTTTTGGAACTCCACTGTATACATTACTGGCACAAAACAAAACTTGTTAAAAGGGCAGATATCCATATATTGTGCATTGAAAAACAAATGATAGTTAACGCTGAAAAAACCAAACTACATTAAATGACCAGGCTGATCTTACTTGCAATCGTCTTCCCAAAGTAGGAGTTTTTCTTAATGTCATCAATCAGAATGCTGAGCTTAATGTGGAAAACCCTTGAAACAACCATTGGTTTGTCCGAGCTATTTTGACCAACAATATCGTGAAAAGCTTCTGTGATTTCTTCCCACAACGAATTACACGTAAATGTAATAAATAGATCTGGATTTCCATAGAATTCGACCACCGCCATTGCATCGTGATATAGTTGTTGCATATATCGTGGACTACCAATGTAAGTCCCTGGGAGCACAACATGACCCACTTTATCCCCGTCGAGATCACCCCGCGCCATTGTATCCTGTAAGCCTTGATAAACTTCAGCTCTACGTTGTGGCTGATGATAGCGCAAAAATGCCAACCTATTTAACTCTATTGATGAATAGGCGTCAATACAAAAGTGCTGAAGAGCTTTTCCAACTTGAACAATTGTATGACCTTCGTTGATGCGATATTGGAGCCTAAATGTGTAATATTCACGTTGAGTAACAAATTGTCTGCGCATAGAAGGAGGACATAAAGCTGACCTGTATTTGATAAGCGGATGATAACCATCCTCTCCATATGGAAATAAGAGCGGGAAATGCAATGCATCAAATTTTGGATTGAGGCTTGTAATTCTCTTTAAACCTTCATAAATGTGATCAACAATGATATCTCGATCGTCTCTGTCTGGAATAAAATCGCCCGGTATGAGTGCCGCGATTTCAGTGCTGCTTGACAAGTCATACTGTCGATTTATGCTCTTAGCTCCAAAAATTTGAAGCTTCAAATTTGTCGTTGTAGAATCCTGCCGCTGCTGCCGAAGTCGCCTGAATGTCTTGACAAGTTGATTGTTTTGATCCAGCATTTGTAGCAATAAAGTGAGCAATTCTGGAATAAGTAGATCATCACGGGAAGCAAAATTTGGCAAAGGGTTGTCAATCTCGTTCTCTGGTTCAAAAATATAGAGCTGCGCAAACTTTGGTTTTTCACCATCAGGAGGCAACAACGAACCAATCCTATGATAATTTTCTCCACATTTTACCATTGAATAAGGCCCCCTTCCAGAGAGAGAGTGAGGGCCGATAGAAGCGCCAAATGATGTGAAGCACAATGAACCATTATACGGTCTAATGTTGCCCCTGAAATGCTTGGACATAATGCCACCATCAAACCGCAGAAGTTCAGCCAACAAATGTGGAGGTTGTGCTAAGAGCAGCAAACCAACGCGACCTTTTTGACAAGACAATGCATAAATTGAATTAGTTGTCGCTCGATGGCGGTCGAGTCTCTCCATATCCCAAAACAAAGCACCACAGTATTTACAAACACACTCTAGCTGACCTATCCTCATAATATCATTGTGGAGAAGCTTTCTAGCTCTGGGAATATGCCTACCACAGAATGGAGCTTCGCCTAAATTCCGCCGATTCAAACGATCAGTTTTCTGACGGTTAGCCTGTGTTACTCGACTGGTGCTTTCGTTACATTCACCCCCATATCACGCACCCCCTGTTCCTGACAAAATATGGGTCGAGTTATATCTCTGGATCCCAATTGCTTCATATTCTGATAGCGCGCTTTCCTTGGCCGTGATGGACCTGATATGTACACAACAAACATAAGAGTGGTAAGTAAACTACAGTAAGCGGCCGATATGAACGAATGTTAGTAACGCATAATACAGGCATGGATATTTCATGCTTCAAACAACAGACATAGAATAATGTTGAACTTATCACCAGCTGGCGATGGCGACACTTGATGAAGATTCAATAATGACCCCTGCATGGTGCTCTGAGACACAGCAGATGTTTCCCCAAACACTGCTGAAGGAGTTGTAAGATCCTATGATGGCTGTTTGGGAATTTCAATTCTAGCTCTTTTATGTGTTAAAGTCTGATATTGAGCTTTTCTTATTCTTGGAGGCATTGCTGCATAGTCTACACAAAAGCATGAAAAGGATCAACGCCATTTATTGTTGGGATGCTTCATTAATAAGGTTGAGATGAAATCGGATATAATGAATCAATAAAGGAAATAAATGAAAATTCACTCTACCTTGGACAATTAAAGGCGTGGTGGTTGTGTAGATGACTGTCCAAATTGGCTGGCAAGCAAAAGATACAAATGAGCAAATCTTAGATGAAATATCAGAGTAAGATGGGAGAAGTTCCCAGAGAAGTTGACACAACCCCAATGAAGAAGAAGACCTGCATTAAAATGCATCATCATGGATATTCGAGGTATGCAATAATATCTATCTATATTAAAATGTGTTATTATGGGTATGCGGGATATCATATATGCATTAGTATATTGCTTTATCACTCCGAAAATATCTAACATTGTGCTCAATTAATAAAATGAAAAAAACCAATCATATTAGTTTGATCTTTGTATAGAAAGAGGATGAATTACGGTGGCAAAAGCGATTACGGTAAGAAAAATTAATAGCATACTTTCTCATTCAAAATTGCCCGAGCGTTTTTCCTTTTCGAAACATGTGAGCTCAATTGGAATTCATGAATTTTATGTCAATTAATGACAACTTATTTATTCTAGACACAGTCTACGGGATCCAACATAATTATTTCATTCCTATCCCAATTGCTCATATATGTTCAAACGTACGTTTTCAGGACTATCAATTCCACAAAATGTTGAACATGCTCTAACACATCACGGTAACTAAATTTATAGAACAGGTTAATTCCTGAATAAAAAGTGAGTTTGTTAGACTTTAAGAGGAAGAATAAACGAACATTTAGCAAAACAGGAACATGACTACGCTAAGAATGGACATACACTATGGTTGGAAAACGAAATAACCTATTTAAGCAACGATAAGTAGAATTGATATTATATAACACCTGATAAGAGAAAAAAGCCCGGCAGCAGTATTACAATAAGCCACCACGCAAAAGTCACATATAGCAACCAACAATACCTAAATACCGCCAAAAGAGCTACTATCCGACAAAAGATAGACGACTGCATAAACGAAAAGCATAGAGGATATACATCCTCTGATAACATCCACACAGGTGCAGGCAACACATTTTCGAGACCAGAAGGCCCAAAACATGATTGTTCAAACAAAGAGAATAATTTGAAAAAGCATAACGAAACATGAAATCTCCTCGAACATAAGACAACTATTATCCCAGAGACATCATCAAACACATCTTTAGTTCCTGCAGAAAACAACGTGGAATAATAAGAATCATGATACGCCCAAAAACTAACCTACAACAAAAATGTTCTGAGAGAACAGGATTAAATAACAAAGCTAGGAGTACCCTTGAAACCATGATCACTTCTTGAACAAAGCACGCTTTGCAACCGATTTTTTCTGACTATCCACCGAAGTATCCCTTTCTATATCAACACCTGCGAGGAACCACCATGTGGCACCTGAGCAATTTCGGCAACATCCAATTTCTCCACCTTGGTCTTGGCCAGTGGAGAAACCAACCTTGAAACAAATAGAGTTTCTCATTCTAAGAACGGGAGAAATAACACAAACATAAAACATTAGAGAACTGACAATATAGAACATAAATACTCACGGCGATGTCGAGGGCGACACGACGGTTGAACCTAAGGTCTTTCCAGGAGATGACTCGGGGGATGGCTTTAAAATTTTTGCAGCGGGCATAGATGAGCCACGACCAACATCCTCAGGGCTCATAGACTCATCAATTCTAGATGATCGTCTGGGGATCATTGAAGCAGTAGATTGGAAAGATGGTACAGTAGAATGAACTGCAGAAGACATGGACACAGATGCTGCAGTTCGGGTAGAGCCCACCTGTACACCCATCATTGAAAGCTGAGAACCTCCAAGAATCTGCGATCCAGTATCAATCTCTTCATTCCTGACATTTGCAGAAATAGGGTTCCGGAAATCCTTGGCTTCATAGCTGGGAAATCTGCAAATCATAATAACTGATTCAGGTAACATTCTCAAACAACATCGCAATAAGCAAAATAAACTTCAGGAACAACGTCAATACTTGTCAATTAGATCTGGTTCATCAGTGATGTTAAACGGCATAGCTGGAGCTTCAATGAGAAGAGAGTCTGAAACCTTTTCCTTTCCCTTCGAGGCCCTTGAGAACATATCACAAATAATTCACTTTAGACATGGTAGACAGACCAAAGCAAAACACACATAAACCAAAGCACCCAATACTGACCTCGATGAACCTGAGGGCCCTCCCACAATACTCGATGCGCGCACCACAAGAGCAGCCAACGGAGGGGGCGAAGAAAACTTAAGCAAATCACCCACCACAGTAGGATCATCAAGAGGAACCACTTGGGGAACACGGAATTCACCCGAGGAGAAACCAGTTGGGCCCAGCAACGGCAACCAACAATCAAACTTGACATATTGGCCTCGCAACTGATGCAGTTGTGGGGGCAGCTGACCAGGACGATGGGGGAACCTCTAGGCCAGATGTGCAGCAGAAACGTTCACCAGCGCATGTGCACACCCCCCATTAGTATAAAACGCGCCTCACAGGAGTCATCCCTCAGTGTAAGCTGGAGCTTGTAGCTGAGGGAAAAAGAACATTAGCAGCAAAACTTACAACAGGCAACAAACATACAAAAATGATACACAGTCATACTTGACGCGGGTTTGTTCCTCGTCCAGCTGCCAATCCTTTGGACACCAAAACGTATCATCACGATGCTTCGAAACAGCCCTCGAACATAACTTGCATGAAATATAATACCAAGGTGTGCTTGACTCGACATCGACAATCACTCCACCACAACGGTACTTCTCTTCCTACCAAAGAAAAGAAGGGCAACTTACTTCCAAACACGGGAAAATAAGAGCAGTAAACTATTTGAGAGGAATATGCAGTACCAGTGAGGAATTTGTTCTGGATAACGCCAGCAGCTGGCTCAAAGTCCTGGTTCGATGATCTGCATCAACTGTAGCATCAGCAACAGTAGCAAACTCAACCGGCAAGGATTCAACAACCTCATGTTTCTCAGCAAACCTAGCAGAAATCCAAGCAGCATGAATTCGACAACATAGGAGCCTTGGTAAATAATGGGCCACACAAACAGTACACACAAAATCGGCTACAGCCCACAACTAACTTACCTAGATGCAAGATAATAAGCCTTTGGTACAGGAGGATTGACTGATATGCGAGTTGCGGCTGAACTCGACAGAACATAATCATCTGAAAAGTAGAATAAAAGACGACGAAAAACTATAACGTACTAATAGACCACACTCAATCTAGTGAAAAGGTGCATGCAATAAGGAAGCAAGAACATACCCCCCAGTTTATTAACCAGAAAGCCGCCAAATGCCAAAATCACAGCTTCAATCGAGTCAATCTGAGTGAGAGCAACATGATCCAACATCGCGGAAAACTCATCCCAGAGTGTAATCGAGACCTTCGCTCCACTGAGAAAAAAAAAAAGCAGGGACACGTGATAGAAACAAATAACAAACACGACACACACAACCAAACTCATAACCCCAGAAAAGGGAAAAACACCTTTCATCCTCAACTATAACCGTCTGCTTGACTGCAGGGCCGTTATTTGTGATTTTGTGCGATATCCCACTGATCGAACTGAGTCGGCCAACGACATCTACGAAAACAGTGCAGAGGCAAAATCTTAGTAAACAAACAACAGATATATAAGCAAAGCAAACCTAAAAAAACAAACCTGCTAACCTGTCAAATAACGATGGTTACCGGCACGCATATTCAACTGAGAGAAAGCCACAAACTCGTAAGCAATGCAGTCAAAAGCGCGATTCTACCTAGAAGCGAAAAAGGGGTAAACTCGTAAAGCGTAGAATCAAAGCGTAAAAGCGTAAGTTTTTGACGCATACTGAAAAATAAATAAAAATTTATTAAGTAGGACATATGCTATGCAAAATATGAATGCACGGAATTTAGATAAGTCAATAAATGCATGCTATTCATGCCTAAAGTAGAACAACTTATAGCATCTTAATAATAAGTTTGTAAACATAAATTTTAACAATAAGCCACTTTTCTCACTATGCTGATGAATTTGGGAAAAGCCTAACGGGTGAATAAGATTACTCTATCGAAGTTGAGAATGCATACAAGTACCTTATATTATATGTATCTTTTAATCTCAAATGTATCATATTGTTGGTGATTTACTTTTAAAATATACATTTTATAATTAATTTCATGAAAAGAATACTCATTTAGTGAACTAAAAGCGTAAAAACGTAAAGCGTTTTGGAGAACTAGAAGCGTAAAACCGTAAGCTTTTAAGCTTTAAAGCGCAATTTAGTCCGATTTTATATACTGAAGTTTTTATATGGAAATGAAAGTGTTTTGGTGACCTAAAAGCGTAAAATCGTAAGTTTTTAAGTTTTAAAACGCGATTTTGACTGCATTTCGTAAGCATCAACCGGGAAACTTTCAGCAGGAAGAACACAGGGCTGGAAAGAAGTCGAAGGCGAAAGACCCAAAGCCAAATCAAAGGAACACGACCGATACTGATTCGGCGGGTTGCTCAAGGCAAAAGACTTTATGACGTATATCTTGCCAACCGAGAGATTACGACGAATCCCAGCAGCCATTGAAGTTGGCGAGACGCCCTGTATCAGCATACCCTACGCAAAAAACACCAACCTGGCTCATGAATAAAATGAAGAGGGGACAGCAAACCAGGGCAGAAAAGAGTAGGCGAGAAGGACAGGAACCTAACCGTTTCGTCGACCCAAAGAGTACAGTAATTGTATATTCTAATGTCCCCTGGAGACTTCGCCGGCTGACACGCCAAAACACAACACCAATCTGCGACCAAGTGTAATCGCAGACCGGGAATGCAGTAACATGCAAGTTATATTATCAACCCGGGGTCTAGGTCTACTACTTACTCAGTGATTCTCTATTATCTAGCCAACTAAAGTAAGTGATTGTTGTTTAAAAGCAAAAGCAGAAATAAAGCAGGAATTGATACGGTTTTCTCAAGCAGGTACGAGTCACTCGGGAATGAGTCCCCCTAGCTCCTTAGTTTGGTTCAATTGCAATTTCCCTGGGTTGATTTACTGTTGATTAGACTGCGGAAGATCCGACAGTAGCTTGGAATCTCTTAAGCTGACCAAGCCCTCTCAGTCCAACTACCCGGCAGACGACTAGTCTTCACCGGGGTAGAAAGCTGAAGCAGTAAGAACATAACTCCACTACTGGAATTGAATTCCAGTACAAAGCAGTAAACTGGCTAACTCTCGTATAGCCAATCTCCTACTATCGAACGATGAGACTCTAGCAACCTAATCAGATTCTATCTATCTCAGATTGCAGCAGGAATCAGGAAAAGTTGATCAGACTTCAATTGACTCAATAAACATGCATCATTCGATTAAAATCAAACAGTAATATCATCCCAAGTCATTACAATCAATCCCTAACACATAGAACTAGGGTTCTTCATCCCCAAGTGAGAGAGGAGTTCTACTCCATAGAGAGAGAGAGGAAAACAGTAATCGGAGTAGTCATACTCATAAAGATGAGGAAAATCTGCTCCGGGATGATGATTTCGACTCCTAGGACGATCTCCAAACTTGATTCGATGAAACCCAGCTCCAAAACAGCTTCTAGGATGTGTTCTTCGTACTTTCTCCCTTGTGGCTCGAAATTGGCTGAAAAACCAAGATTTCCCGACTCGCACGGGCAGGCCACACGGCCGTGTGGCTCACCCAGTTGCCCGTGCGAGTCAAAACGCTGCGTTCCAATTAGTTCGATCTTAGGCTTCCCACACGGCCAGGGTCGCACGGCCGTGCGGGATTTCCATCCTGCCCGTGCATGCTCTCGACAAAAACCACACGGCCACAATTGTGAGTTGCACGGCCGTGTGGTTTCCAGGAATGCCCGTGCAGCTTCCTTAGCACCTCACCACGCGTCCGATTCTCGTACAATCGACCCCAAACTAGCTCCCAAGCCTCCATTCACGTACTAGGACCTGAAATATGACAAACAAGCACAACCTAGCGTGAAATCGGCCTAAAACACGAGAATCAACACCTCAAACGGTGTAAGAATAGGGGTAAAAACATGTGTAATTAACGGTCTATCAAACTCCCCCACACTTAACCGTTTGCTTCTCCCCAAGGAAACCAAGTCAGACACAAGGTAAGCTCACATATTTCAATCAACCAACATTGGGGACAAGTCATAAAGGCACAGAACACGTGAATCGTACTGGTTTTCAAACATCAATACATGACCAACTTCAACAGCAACCTGGACAACCACCACAAAGGACATTCGAGTGCAGCAAAATCTAGTAAAGGAAGAGTCTCCCTTCTGTTCACCAACCAACCTAGACTTGACTCAACCACTTACTCAAAACAGTCAACTCATGCATCCAACTCAAGACATCAGAATAGAGACCGAGCAATCTAGGTCCTCACCGGGGTACAAGAGTATATAGACTATGAAAATGAATCACTCACTCTCGACCAGTGGGGTCAGGACAATTTGATGCGAAAAATGCGCATGTTATGTCTCTCAATCCCTAACATCTCTTCACCATGATGGCAGCCTCTAAACGCTAGAGTTCACATATGGGGTGTCACCACTAACTAATCAGGAGGTCTTAGACACAGGTTCAAATGACTGGCTAGGGTCTTGGACATGGGGAAAAGGCCTTTTAGGTGGTGGAAGTATTCATAGCACAAGGTTCCACATTTCCAAACCCAAACAATCACAGTCAAACAAACCGGTATTTCCTTTCTGCTATTCTGCATTACTCAATATCTCAAGAGCACAAGAGCGAAGGAGGTATAAATGTCAGCATTTCCAAGCCAGACTGCTAAGAAACACTACTTACCGGGCATTACTCAAATTTTTGGTAGTGGCTCTCTTTGCTTTCAATTTTTCTTTGTTTTTCTTTCATTTTCTTTTCATTTCTTAAGAGAGCCACCACTTCTGCACATATTTCAAACACATGCCCAACTCAACCTTTAAGCACTACCTCCAACACTCACATCAAATTTAGCAGAAACAGCAGAGAATATGGCAAAACCACTCTGTGGAACCTTCTAAAAGATGTAAACAGGGTGATTTTTTCATTTCAGACCAAAAGAAAGGATAACACACGGCTCAAAAGGGCTGACTAGGGGATATGACATATCAGGACAGTCAAATTTGGTCGTGGGCTAATCCTATGCCCCCATCATCTTAGCTAGTGACAACGTGAATGCTACACATCATGGAAGAGGGATCTATCGCACAAGAAAGAAACGAGCAGGCTCAAATCTCACATGGCTACCTATATGCTCTATCTCACATTCTGATACCCTAAACTAGATGCATAAGAGACTGTCAAGAACAAGTAATCAATCCAAGTCACAGTTGGTAAGCAAACAGTTGAAAAACTGAACCCCTACACAACTCTACTGCACGGCTTAGTCCTCATCATAGGTTGTCCTAGTCACATCAAACTGTCATGCATCAATCCGAAAACCATTCAATTCATCAATCAAAACACATTGCCAATATGATCAAACAGCAGTACTTGGAGCCCTCATATCTCGAGATTTGGACAGTGGACTAGGCTCCAAGCACACATATATACATTCCAACCGATACAAAGCACCCCCCACACTTAAGCACGACATTGCCCTCAATGGAGCAGAGGGATAGAGAAGGGGAACGATGTTACCGGATTGAAACTGCTGGGGGACTGGAAGTGAACCAGTCAGCGAGAAACAAACGGGAAGATGGACAGTGCTGCACGAATCGAACACCAAGAACACACTAGCACACTGTGCGTTAGGGATAAGTGTTAGCCCAGACGGCTACAGAAAAAAACAATCCACAAAAGAAAACCGAAAACAAAAACAAACGACACCAAGTTCAAGCTCCTCACACATGGAGCAAACACACACAAGTCTAAAACGAAAAACAAAACACACTGAGATGGGCAACGAGTACAGCCTACTCGTCGCCAAGATTATCCAGGTCGATGTCGTCCATGAAGGCGTCATCACCATCAGCACCATCATCACCATCAGCTGGGGGAGGTGGAAGTGGAGAGTCCTCCCAGGGAGTCCTCCAGACTGGCTGCTCGCCCGGTAGCAGCTGGAGCAGATGCCCCTGTACCTCCTGCATGCGTTGAGAGCGGCGCCTCTCCCGCTCGATGTGTGCGAGAGTCACTCCCTGCTGGGTCTGGAGCTGGTCCAATCTCTCATCGTAAGCAGCCATCCTCTGGTGGTACTCGGCCTGGTGAGCCGCGTACTGCTGCTGGAACTGCATCTGATGGTCGAGGATCTGCTGGTTCTGGAGACGTAGCTGCTCGAACTGGGAGGTGAAGTAGTCCTAGCCCGGGAAAGCGGAGCTGCCACCTCCGTAAGGGAAGTGAGTCTGTGGTGGATCAACAGTAGCGTCCACATCCTCGGGCTCCACATGAGCAGCAGCCTCATCCCCCTGGCCCTCTGGCTGGTCCTCCTGCTGGTCCTCCGCAGGGATCTGAGTTTCCGGAAACCCCTCGATCCATAGAATGCCGCGGTTCTGTCGCAGCAGGTGCATGTGACTGATCGTGGACCTGCCAAAAACGATGGTGTCCCCCTGCTGTGTGCACCCCTGCAGGGAAAGGCCGAAGTAGGTGGCCAGGCGGGTGATGAGGGGGGTGCAGTGGATACTCTTCAGTTCTGAAGCAGTCTTCTCGAAGGTCCTGGCCACCACCGAACCCAAGTGGAGGGGATGGTCGTCCTGGCGGATCGACTGGAGGAGGTACAGGGCCCTCCTAGTGATGGCGCTGGCACTGTCTGAAGCTGGAGTATAAGACTTCGCCAGCAGGTGGTGGAGAAGGCGGTTTTCGAGCTGCAGTGTAGTTGTCTTCGTCCTCCCGGCCGAAAAGGGACGTGTCTGGCCTGGCCGAGCCAGGCGGGTGTACAGCCTCCTGAAGTCCACCTCCGGCGGGTCGCTGACCTCGGTGACGTAGTCCAGACCGTCGTCGAGGTCGAGGTCGAGAGCCTCGGCCAGCTCGTGGTAGCTCCAGGACCGTGGGGCACCGCCTAGCCTGAATTTGACGGCTGCACCGTCTCTCCAATCGTCCGTGGGTGTGTGCTTGAAGGTCGTGTAGAACTCAAGCACAAGCTCATAGTAAACCTTCTCGCAGATGGAGAGCAGACGGCGCCATGGGCGGTTGGTGACGGCGGCAGAGAGTTGCTCGTAGCAGTGCAATGTCTGAAACTCCCGTTTGGACCAGCAATGGTGCTGCCCAAACGGGCATTTCAGGACCTGCTTGAAGCGATCCTGGGCGGGCCCCCTCTTCAAATCCCGGATGAACGGGTGCTTGAGGTCAGGTTTCGACATTGTCCTGCAAAAGAACAACCCAAAGTGGAACCAAAAGAGCCAAAGAAAATGTTAATCACACCCCCACACTTAAGAACAGAAAACAGCCTAACCATGGTTTCATCCATAGTTCGGGGGTCAGAAACTCGATAAATCAAGCATAATCTGAGTGGGGGTGCACATCCATGAACAATTAGGCAACTCAAGGGTCACATTCATACCAAATACACCCTCAAAGCACATCATTAAGGGCCCCAACCGACCCCCACAAAATGGTACGAAAAGAGGCATTTCATCGAACACCTTGTGTGCACTATTAAGGTAAGCATGAAATTGGCACAATTCTTGCACACAAGGGCTCAAACAATCAAGAGGGACTTTGCCCAACACAATTCAAACACACTCCATGCATTCCCCTCAATCAATTGCACAAAAATCACAAGATTCAATGAGGTTCTCTAAACATGCACCCTAACACCCAATTCTCCACAATTAACATAGTTAAGGGCAAAATCAAACCTGGAGACTCAAGTAGAGGTGTAGGGGATGATGAGGGGAAGGCGATGGAAGCGACGAAAAGCCGAAAAAGTGCCCGAAAGTGCTCGTCGGAGTCTCGCTGGAGTCTCGCCGGAAATCGCCTCCGGCGACAAAAACGTCGGCCAAATCTCCTCAAAATGGAGGGATAGGCCGCTTTTGGTGGAGGAAGGGTGGGTTTGTTGTTGGTTTGGTGAAAAGATGACAAAAAATGGCCGAAAAAATCAAAAATGGGGGTTTTGGCGCGGTTTTCCGGTGAGATTCAGAGGATTCCGGCGAGTGTTGGCCGAATAAATAGGCCGTGGCTCGGCCGTGCGAGGTGCAAGTTTGCCCGTGTTGGCCGACACGGGCATGCCGAGGAATACCACACGGCCGTGCCAGTTGCACTTTTGGCCGTGTGGAATTTGTCGCGAGCTCGCACGGCCAATGGAAAAAATCCACACGGCCGTGCCAGAAGACGAGTTGCCCGCGTCGGCCAAACGGCCAGACCAGGCCAATCCACACGACCGTGCGAGTTGCACTTTTGGCCGTGTGGAAATTGTCGAGGGCTCACACGGCCAGGGAATAATATCCACACGGCCGTGCTAGAGTATGGCCTGGCCGTGCGAGCTGCTGGACGCCCGAATTCAATCTGTTTTCACCCAAAAACGACATTCGACTCTGGAACATCTCAAGACTAAAAAACACAAAAAATAACAAAAGGAAAAATGTAAGAAAATGCAAACCTCGGTGGGGTTGCCTCCCCACAAGCGCTTCTTTACCGTCTTTTAGCTGGACGCCAGTCGGTGGATGCTCAGTGAGGTGAAGGAGCAGGTTCGTTCAAGAGCGGATCCACCTCGCTCTTGAGGTACAGCTTCAAATGGTGGCCATGCACCCGCCGAATGTGGCCACCAGCATTTGCCAACTCAACTTGACCATCCGGCAGGATGCAAGCGAGTGAATACTCGGATGGCCAAGGTGGGGGCGGGACCAGCTCATAGTGGTCTCCGGCTTTCTTTCGAGCAGGCTTAGCTGCCTGCTGTTTCGGCCGCCACTCCTCCCTGATTTGTTCCTTCGATGACAGAGTGGACGGGAGTGGCGGCGAAGGTATGTGAGGCGGATCCTGCAAAACAGGCAACACAGGAGGATACACGACAGACTCGTGCTCCTGGTGAGATACAACATGCAAAGGTGACGAAGCAGGACGAGAATTAGAAATTGAAAACGCGATTCGCTCCTCACCATCCCTCAAAACTAAGGTCCCATCATGCACATCTATGAGGGCCTTGGCGGTGGCCAGGAAAGGCCTTCCCAGTATCAATGGCACATTCACATCCTCATTTATGTCCAAAATCACAAAATCAACAGGATAATTGAATTTGCCAACCTTAACCAGAAGGTCTTCCACTATGCCCCTAGGATGCACTACAGATCGGTCAGCTAATTGAAGGCTCATCCTAGTAGCACGGGGTTCACCTAGGCCTAGTTTCTTAAACAGTTTATATGGCATAACATTTATACTAGCACCTAAATCCGCCAAGGACCTCTCTACATGCAAATTCTCTATAGAGCACGGGATAGTAAAACTACCTGGGTCCTTCTGTTTCTGCGGAAGCTTGTTCTGCAGAATGGCCGAGCACTCCTCGCTGAGCTCCACAGAGGCCAGCTCGCTCAGCTTCTGCTTCTTTGAGAGAAGATCCTTTAGGAACTTTGCATACTTAGGCATTTGAGATAGTGCCTCCAGGAAAGGCACTTGGACATTCAGCTTCCTAAGCATGGCCATGAAGTTCTCGAACTCTGCCTCCAGCCTGTCTTTGTGCAACCGAGTAGGGAAGGGGAGTTTAGGGATATACTCCTTCACTACTGGTTGCGGTTTAGGTGCAGGCACCTCAACCTCCTTCTCTACTTCTTCTTCAGCTGCTGGAGATGCCGAGGCAGGGGCCTCTCTCTCTTGTGCCCAAGCAGGTGGATCAACAGTCATCTTGCCACTTCTGGTTATGATGGCATTGCAGTGCTCATTCGGGTTTTGAGGATGAGGGATGGTCTGACCGGGCAGAGTACCAGGAGCCCTTTGTGCGACTGCTTGAGCCACACTCCCCAGCTGGGTCTGGATATCCTGCAAGATAGCCTGTGTGTTCCTCTGGCCAGCTTCAAGAGCCAGGAATTTGCCTAATGCCTTTTCCATGAACTACTCGATAGTGTTAAATTTTTTAGCACTAGAACTGGCGAGAGAACCCACCAATTCCCGCAGTTCAGCCATCTGATCATTCTGCACCTGACTGCTGGAAAGGTCGCGGCTGTGATGGAGCAGCATGCCCCTACATGGCCTGGTAGAGAGACTGTTGCTGCTGGAATTGCCCCTGTCAGGGCTGATATGTGGCCTCTGGAAGCCCGGTGGTCCCTGGGGGACTGGTGGTCTGGAATTTGCCCCACCCCAGGAGAAATTGGGATGCTGGCGCCACCCCTCATTGTAGGTGTTACTGTAGGGGTCATTGCGCCTAAAATTGTTGATGAAGTTCACCTGCTCCTGGGGTGTTGTCGATTCCTTCATCGCCTGGCAGTCCTCTACGGTGTGATGGGAGCTCTCACACCACTGGCAGTGCATCACCTGCGGCTGCCCTGTACCTGCAATCAAACCAGAACGATCGATAGCTGAAACCAGCTTCGATACCACCTGCACCAAATCAGATGACTGGGTGCCTACAGCATGCACACCCCGTCCTGGTGCTCGTCTCGATCTCCTGGCAGTGCCCCAATCGTACCCGTTCTCCGCCATCTCCTCAAAGAGTTGATTCAGCTATGGCGGTGTTTTGGTCAGCATGTTCCCGCCACAAACCGAATCAATCAGCTGCTTGTCCTCCGGGAAGAGGATGTGATAGAAGGTTCCCACCTTGAAAGCATCGTTGAAACCATGATTGGGACACCTCAGGAAGAGGCTGTTGTATCTCTCCCAAGCGTCCCGGATGGTCTCATCTTCATCCTGGGTGAAGTGGGTAATCTGCTTCTGCAAGTCCACCGTCTTGGACGGAGGATGGTAGCGTGTAAGGAACTTGTCCGCCAGGTTGGCGAACGTGGTGATGGAGCCCGGAGGTTGAGTGTCTAGCCACTCCTTGGCTTGCCCCTCCAGAGTAAATGGGAAGTACCTCAGCTGGATGGCATCTGCTGGTACCCCATTGATCTTGATTCCATCAATGAGCTCGTGGAATCGCCTGAGATGTGAACGAGGGCACTCCCCCTCTTTACCACGGAACATCACCGAACTGCGCCGCATGGTGATTACTGAGGTGCTCACCTCAAAATTATTGGCTGGGATATGAGGGTGTTGAATAGGTGACCTCATGTCTGCAGCCCTAGCGGTCCAGTAATGTCCCATGGTCTGCTCCTCGGGATCGATCACAGCATGGCCATGTGGATCAGCCATCTCTTCTTCCTCTTCTTCTAACTGCAGCTGTGATAGCGCCTCCTCCGCAGCCAGTCGCGCCTTTAGAGCCCGCTTGAAGTTTCTGCAGGTTCGTTCAAGCTCCTCTTCTAGTGATAGTAGATCTCCCGACTGGCTACGGGTCATGCACTACCTGCACACAATCAGCAGAAGCAACCCGTGAAGGCACACAGGGGGAAGAGATAAAATGAAGTAATTAAAAGGCTAGAGTAACAAATTCTCACATTTTCCTAATAACCTAGAGGGTCCCCGGCAACGACGCCAAAAACTTGACAAGCCAAAATACAACATCAATCTGCGACCAAGTGTAATCGCATACTGGGAATGCAGTAATAGGCAAGTTATATTATCAACCCGGGGTCTAGGTCTACTGCTTACTCAGTGATTCTCTATTATCTAGCCAACTAAAGTAAGTGATTGTTGTTTAAAAGCAAAAGCAGAAATAAAGCAGGAATTGATACGGTTTTCTCAAGCAGGTAAGAGTCACTCGGGAATGAGTCCCCCTAGCTCCTTAGTTAGGTTCAATTTCAATTTCCATGGGTTGATTTACTGTTGATTAGATTGCGGAAGATCCGACAGTAGCTTGGAATCTCTTAAGCTGACCAAGCCCTCTCAGTTTAACTACCCGGCAGACGACTAGTCTTCACCGGGGTAGAAAGCTGAAGCAGTAAGAACAGAACTCCACTACTGGAATTGAATTCCAGTACAAAGCAGTAAAATGGCTAACTCTCGTATAGCCAATCTCCTACTATCGAACGATGAGACTCTAGCAACCTAATCAGATTCTATCTATCTCAGATTGCAGCAGGAATCAGGAAAAGTTGATCAAACTTTAATTGACTCAATAAACATGCATCATTCGATTAAAATCAAACAGTAATATCATCCCAAGTCATTACAATCAATCCCTAACACATAGAACTAGGGTTCTTCATCCCCAAGTGAGAGAGGGGTTCTACTCCATAGAGAGAGAGGAAAACAGTAATCGGAGTAGTCATACTCATAAAGATGAGGAAAATCTGCTCCGGGATGATGATTTCCACTCCTAGGACGATCTCCAAGCTCGATTCGATGAAACCCAGCTCCAAAACAACTTCTTGGATGTGTTCTTCGAACTTTCTCTCTCTCTAGGGCTCTGTTTTTGCTCAAAAAGTCCGATTCTCTCCCTTGTGGCTCGAAATTGGCTGAAAAACCAAGATTTTCCGACTCGCACGGGCAGGCCACACGGCCGTGTGGCTCACCCAGTTGCCCGTGCGAGTCAAAACGCTGCGTTCCAATTAGTTCGATCTTAGGCTTCCCACACGGCCAGGGTCGCACGGCCGTGCGGGATTTCCATCCTGCCCGTGCATGCTCTCGACAAAAACCACACGGCCTCAATTGTGAGTTGCACGGCCGTGTGGTTTCCAGGAATGCCCGTGCAGCTTCCTTAGCACCTCGCCACGCGTCCGATTCTCGTACAATCGACCCCAAACTCGCTCCCAAGCCTCCATTCACGTACTAGGACCTGAAATATGACAAACAAGCACAACCTAGCGTGAAATCGGCCTAAAACACGAGAATCAACACCTCAAACGGTGTAAGAACAGGGGTAAAAACATGTGTAATTAACAGTCTATCACCGGCCACACATGCAGCAGTCGGAGCCGCAAAGAAACGCTGGCATTGCGCGGACCTCCGAGGTTACAAAGCAGTGTGAACTCCATGGTTTGGGAAAAAGAAGAGCACCAAAGAGAGAGGAAACCATTTTAGAGAAAGAGAACAGAATGAAAGTAGGGAAGTTTCGGCGCTCCAAAAGAGTAAAATAATGAGGGAAAGAATAAGCAGGCGCGAAGGTAGTGTGTCTCAGTTACCGGTCCAATGATGGAGAGAAACGTAGAAAAATGGGAAATGACACTCTCATTGACAAAAAGATAAGGACGACGTTAAATCAAGGAACCGCCAACGAAAGCATAAAAAGCAATGAAGGATTTCCCGTCGCCGAAGCGGCGGTTGTCAGATACCAGGCCAAACACAAAGGAAATCGCTCCCCCCCAGCACAAATGCAAAAGGCTGTGTAAAAAATGGTGCGCCATCATTGGCTAAAATTCAGAAAGACAAGAAAGAATACCCACGTGCAAGGAGAAAAGCAAAGGACGTGTAATAATTATATATGCGGAGGCCTCAGAGGGAATGGTAGAGAGAAGTAGAAAACGAAGGGAAAATGTGCGTCCAGTTGAGGGCAACGCGACACACACAGAAACAACAGAAAACAAATAAAAAACC